ATGAATTTCCCCACCTGGGTTTTAGCAGCTCCTGCAGACTTTTGCACATGAAGTTGGCTCATCTGATGATGAAGACAGATTTGCCTTCAAAGCATGCCCACCAGGTTTAGGTCTATTGTGTGATGCCGTATTTGCACATTTGCTTAATGAGATGGGGAAACCTCACAGAGTGGTCTCTGCTGGTGTGATGGCATGATGGTAAAAAGAGGCTTTTGCAGTAAAATCCATCCTGCCCTTTGAACCTGTTGAAATGTGGAATGGACACATGCACATTTGTGCAGATGATGATTTGGTGTTTGCAAGTCAGTGATCATCAACCATCTCTGTAACTCTTCCTTCACGGCTCAGAAGCTGGTTTCATTGCTGTTGATTTTGTGAAGCCCTTAAGCAATCTCTCCCCTCCTGTTTTGGTCATTTGCTTCACATTTTAAAAGCTTTTCTCTTAGCAGCCCTGTTTAAGTGCTTTGGGATGACTTTTGCTACATTTTACAGCTGTGATGCCCCAGGGCTCTGATGGAAGCCTTGCTGATTGAGTTGAAGAAACCGTGTTGGATTACATCTGTTTCTGTGCTAACTTACATCCCTAGGCTGGAAAGGAGAAAGCAGCAGATGCCAATTCACTCGTATGAATACGAAAGAAACATTTTAAGATGAGACTTATTACTGTGAATCAGTGAAGGTGTGAAGCAGCTATTTGACAAAGTTAGAGGGGATGAAACTGTTCCAAAATAATTCCTCCTCGAGTCCGTAGTGTACCAGCGTCTCAGGACTTGTCTTACAGTTTTAACTTTGAGTCAGCCTTGAGTGCACGGCCTTGAGCTATGAGGCTGAGTTTGCCTCATTTCATAAAATTACATCCCCTGACCCTTGTGGAAGATCTTGTCTCACTTTGAAGGCTGGAGTTACCACGGGTATTTTTTATTTGTGGAGCTGTCACTGCACAGGGCTGGGTCTGGCTCTGCTCAGCTCCACACAGGGCTGTGCCGTGTCCTGTCTGCACACAGCCTGGGGATGCTGCGCTGCCTCAGAGGGCTGCTGGTGCTCAGTGCTCCACCATGAGGGTTAAACAAACATGATTTAGAATTCTTCTGTAAAAACAGAGCTCACTTCCTCAGGAATTTGCTTCAGAAAGGACTGTGAGATATTCTCTCTCTAAGGACTTATATTACAAAAATAGCGCGGTCCTGTGTCTGCAAACAGAAATGTGAGCCTGGAGAAGAACTCCAGCAGCCGAACGGCTTGGGTGAGCCCATTGTAAACAGAATGAATTGCAGCAGTGACTGCATAACCAAACTTCCTTTAAATACAACCTTCCCTCCTCAGAATTCTGAAAATACCCCAGGCTTTTTTTGTGCACCATTTCCAAGCTGTTTTGGCCTAACCACGAGGAACAGCTTCCAGAGCAGAAGAGTCCCGGCAGCGCTCTGCCTTCCTAAGGGCCAGGCTGTGCGAGCAGCAGCGATCCCACGGGCAGCGCCGTGCCCATGGCTGAAAGACACAGCCCCAGCGTCCCAATGGCACTGCGACGTAGGCTGTCTGCCTTCCGTGCTGCCAGCTGATTGCACTTGACGAGAGCCCGATGACTACAGCAGTAGCAAACAAATACTGCAGAAGCTACAGGGGGTGTTTCTGCACGTGGTCAGCGTGTTGGGACCAAACAGGACTGAACGCGGCGGTGACAGCTTCTTGTAAGCGGGAGCTCAGATTTGAGGGCTGGATCAAACAGTACGTGCTGCTGCTCCCTCAGAGGCTGTGTGCCCTTTGGCTGTGTGTTTTTAATCTCTTTTTACTATAGAAATAGCTCGAGGAGATTATGCTGCGTCATTCGGTTCCCTGCCAGGGTGTATTTTAGTTAAAGGCAAATGAGAAAATGTGTGGTGCAGGAGAGTGGCTGTAACTTCCATGGCATAAGCAAGGACATTACAAATTAAGTGAGGCATGGAGGATCTGAGCACTGCAGATCAAATTCAGCCACTTTGTCTGGAGACATAAGAAGAAATTTGCTTTTGCCATTATTGCCACTTAGGGAGCTGCCAGGTGGCTGGGTAACGACCCGGCTGTGCTGCAGAAATGCAGAATCAGCAGAGGCTGCTTGCAAAGGAAATCTATGGAGTGCTGCGAGAGCATGGGAGCACCAGGAGCTGCAGGTGGGGGGACAGGGAGTGGATTTCAGCTACCCTGGCTGGTACGATGCTGAGGGGAAACAGAGCTCGTCCTGCAGTCATGTGTTTGGGCTTCTGTGGGCTGCCAACAGTGGTGGGAAGCATAAGCCACCACAGCTTGCCATTCATACACACATCTGGAGATAAGGGGCTTGTTTTAGGGAGGGTGGGAGCTGGCATGGCACCTAGGGCTCCTCTAGGGGTGGTAAGAACTTGGCACAGGAACAGCAAAGACATTGCATCTTGTCTACCACCAACACTTTCTCCTCACTTTCCCCTTGCAGCAGAAAGCAATGTCAATTGCTTTGGAAGGATTCAAATGAAAATCCTTTGAAGCAGCCATCAGACTTCCTTCCTTTCCTTCCTCTGCTTTGTCAGCGATGCTCTTCTCTGCTAACTTAATGGCATGAAGCAGCCCGGTGTCTCTGCCCAGTTGGGTGGATAGGAGCACACAGGGCACTTGGAATGCCATCAGCCCTGATTTCAGTTTGTCACAGGAGCTGCAGAACTGATTTGCTGTACTGGAAGGAGATTTTGCTGCTTGCTGAGCTGGTTGAAGTGATTCAATTGCCTCCTCAGGATATATAGCTAATGCTAAACCCAATATGTATTAGTACACGTTAGAAGAGAAATCTATAATAAAAGGCATATCCTGCAATCACAGTGTTAATTACATTGTTTTCTGTGTTGAAATGCTGCATTTGTATGCCTCGCCATCTGCATCGCAGCAACTGCATGTGGGAAGCATGGAATGTGTCTTATCAGACACAGGGCGCACAGCAGAGGACATCCAAAGGTTATGTTGTCATCATGTCAAATGGGGCTGTTTATTCCGACTGCTGGAGAAGCAGAGCTTAATCAGAGCATCAGCCATATGCAGATCTGAAATTAGATTTTACAATAACCACCTGTCTGCTGGTTTGAATCCATCATATCCTTTGGGTTGGAGCTGTATTTGCCCAGTGAGTGAGTTTGCTGAGAGAATGTAATCTGAAAGCCTTCATGAAGCAGCAGAGTACCAGTGCCAGAGTGCATGTATATGTATGAGTGTGCCATGGGGCACAGCTGCCTGACGCTCTGTGCTACGGGCTGCTGCTAACGGAGCTGAGGTCAATCCCTGCAGCAGCCAACAGCACTGCTTAAACCTCACATCAACTTCATTCTGCCACTCTCCTTTTTGGGTTTACGATGCTCACACGCTCAGCCAAAGGGCCTTCTGCCTTGGAAGGAAGAGGAGCACTGAGCGTGGTATGCCACAGTGACAGAGCATGGACACACCACCAGCTTTTCCTCTCCTGAGCATTTCTAAGAGTATGAACAAACGCCCATGCTCGTATATTCATAGAGTGAAGCGTGTCACAGGTGTGACTCAGGGCATTATAGCTTTAACCAGTCAAAAATCTGTGTTAAAGTTTGAGCCCCTCTCTGTTGTGTTGCAATGTGAACAACAGCCATGTGTTGGCTTCCTGTGAGCTGCATCAGGGCGGTGGTGAGTCAGGACGAAAAGAGCAACGATATTCAGGGTAAGGGCTGACATTTGGAATGCTGGCACTCAGAAAGAGGCTGCGGAATTCAAAAGAATTCAAAAGCAAAAATTGACAAACAGCTTGTGCCATGGTTTAATCGTGCTCAAAACTGCCTGAAACAAAGCGTTACAGATTTTGCCTTGCTTATCTCCACTGCAGTGGTTGTTCTTCTGAAGTGGGAGCTGCTCTCCCTGGGGAAAACGAGAATGTTTTTTCTTAACTGGGGATAAGGCTCTTCCCACGGCAATCAGCGGGAGGTTTCCATTGAATCCAGTGAGAACTCATCTGGGCCATACATGTGCTCAGTGACCAGAGAGCCTCCCAGCTCCAGCGGGACATGAGCTCACCTCTCCCCAAGACATCAAAGCTCCACCAGTTGGAGCTGCAGCTGTGCCTGGGGATCCAGTGTTGGGAGGCAGCCATGGAGCTTCCCACAGGCAGCAGGCAGAGCCTTCACTTACAGCAGTGCAGAAAGGAGCTGCAGCCTGTGGTACCGAAATGGCGCTCAATAGCCTCAAACCTGCACCTTTCCTGAGCTCTCCTTTTGCAGAAGTTTGGTCTCAGAACAGGCTGTCTTCCCTCTGGAGTGCCCTTGAAATACTGCCCAGGTCAAAGCACCGCTCAGCAGGGTCTGTCCAGGAGGGCCACCACTGGTCCCCATCATTGGGTCCCATTGCTGGGACTAATCCAATCACTCGTCTCAACCCAGGTTCCATTTCTGGTCCCATCACTCAGCACGCAGGGCATAGAACCCAGGTGCGTGGTGCTCAGAGCTCCGCGCCACCAGCTCGTTCCTCATCACCCGGGAAGACACAAGGATGCGCTTATCTCTATACGTTGCACATGTCTTATCCCCGTGTTAAGCTCCTGAAACACGCACAACTCAGGTGTGTTCGTAGCCTCCTCTCACAGCGAGCTGCCCAGAGGCGGCTCAGGTACAAAAGCCGCTTTGCCCGGCGAGCCCGCCCCGGCCCGGCTCCGTACCGACGCGCTTCCACCACCCCCTCCTGGTGGCGCCGAGCCGTGCCTCTCCCCGGGTACCGGCGAGGGGTTCCACCGCTGAATTTCCGCGCCGGGCCCTCTGGAGGTCAGTGTTCGCCCGCGCTGCAGCGGACCTGTTGCACCGCGCCCGGACCGGGCAGCGCCCGCCGCTCGCAGCCTCCGCGGCCCCCAGCGGTCCGGGCTCCCGACGAGCCCCGGCGGGCGCCGCCGGTGCCGGCGGGTGCGGGGCGCGGCGGCTCCCCCCCGCCCTGACGGCGCCCCCGGCCTCGCCGTGAGCCGCCCCCTCCCCTCCTCTCCTCTCCCTCCCCTTTCTTCTTTCCCCGCCCGGGGCGGTGCCGTGCCGTGCCGAGCCGCGGGGTGTAGCGCGGCGCAGCGGCCGCGGGCACGGCGGAGCCCCGCGGAAGATGGCGTACATCCAGGTGGGTGCGGAGCGGCGCCGCTGCGGGATGGCAGAGCGTCCCGCCGGGGTTCGGGGGCGATTCGGGGCGCTGCGCGGAGCCGGGCGGGCGGCGCTGCCCTGCGCGGTTTGGGCGCGGAACTTCGGGGTAACTTCTGTGGCGGGGGGCGGGCGAACGCGGGCCGTGCCCGCACGGGGACTTCTTGCCGCGGGTGAAACGCGACTGCTGAGCCCCGGGCAGCCCGGGATGGCGGTGACCTCAGCGGCCCCTCCGGCCTGGGCGCATCCTCAGCTGCGGGCGGCCCGAGCCGTCGGCGTGATGGATGGGAACCCCAGGCAGTGCGGGGCCGAATTCATTTTGGGTTATTTTAAAATCCCCAGCGCTTTTCTCTCCGGCTCTGCGGTTTCCAGCTGCTTGTTTTTCTAGCTCTGTAGGCTGCAGCCCAATTTTCAAATAAAAAAGAGCAGAACGCCTCTAGCTGGACGAGGCGTCCGGGAGCTCTACGGGAGCCCTCGCTCTCAGCGCCGTCCGTGTCCGCTCTCCCCCCTCCGTCCTCCGGGTTTCCCCCGCCCGGGGCTGCGGCGGGGGCTCTGTGTGAGCGCGGCTCCCGACGGGGCGGGCTGGGGGCCGCCATGCGCATTGCCCCGCGTGCCGGGATGTGCGGCGGGGCCGCTGCTGCCCCGCGCGGATTCAGCCGGTGCCGGCGGGGGCACATCGCTGTCCCCGGGGACGTGGTTTCGGCGCTGAGGCGCTGCAGAGTGGGGCAGAATGAGATTGCTGGGCATTGGGCGCAAGGCACAGGGATACCGGGGACAATAGGGGTGCCTGGCTGGGAGTCCTCACTGCCCGTTGCACCGTTCTGCAAACCTCTGCTCCTCCCAGCGCCCACTTCCACCTCTGTGAGCCAGGTGGATGCGCACAGCTGCTCCTGTTTGCTTTCCTTTCATGGGTTCCTGCTTTTATATCCTCTGTGGCACTGGTGACTTGTTTGCCTGTTCTGTAACACTCAGCCCTTGTTATTGCTGACCCCCCCCGGCAGAGCGTTCTGGGCAATAGCAGCATTGCTGTTGAGCGCTGTGCAGCCCTCGTGCTGCTCTGCTCCCTGGCACGTGGCAGTGCTCTCCCATAGCCCATGGCTGTGCCATTCGTGGCTGTGTGCCCCAAGCTGTCCCCATATCCCTGCAGCCACTCAGAAGTGCCATGTGCTGCATGTGCTGCAGCATTTGAGTGCATGGCACAAATTCAGTGCATTATTTTTAGAGCAATTTAAATATCCTCACAGCAGCTTTGCTGAACCGTTGTCACTTTGACTGCAACTTTGCATTAATCAGGAATGATAAAGCCCCATGAAACCTCTCAGGATCTCCTTAACCAGTTGGTCCGTGGGTATCCAATCACCATCTCGTCACATTGCACAGCAGCATTTTCAGCCTCTTAATTTCTGTTGTAAATGAGCCATGGTCTTCTCACCAAGTGCTGGTTCTGGAGAAGTTCAGATGGAGTAAAACACAGCTCATAGGAGTATTTTTGGAACAAAATTCCACTGCTAAATCATGGCTTCTTTGTAGAAGGTTGTCTTTGTCTGTGTTGTCCATGAACGTAAAGACATTTGTGCAGGTGGAAGGCAGGGAAGAGGCTTTTTGTTGTTTCTGTCTTACGGACCCCCTTTCAGAAGGACAGCTGGGACAATTGGGACACTCAATTAGTCATTAGCAGGGTAAGAAGAGCATTTCACCAGGCACCTGGAATGCTGCTAACCCTGTGGTTACAAATGAAGAAAGGTGTGTAGAGTGTTGCAAGGTGGGCTGTGTGACTTGAAGAGCGTCTTGCTGTCATTTCTCCCTTTGCTATATACTTTCTGCACCTTCAGGAAGGGCTGCAGTGCAAACGTCTGAACTGGGTGCATGCTGCAGGCTTGGGGCACTCAGCTCTGTGCTTTTAACCTCTGAGTCAGGAACAGGGAGAGGCTGAAAGAGATGTGGCTCTTGCTATGAATGCTGCTTTTGCCAGGTTGGTGTTGGAGCTCTGTTCATACGGGCAGATTCTGGACACACACCTTTCCCAACTCTAATGTTTGGATGTGATTTGCTGTCTGCTGCCATTGGAGACAGCCATAAGGAAAGCAAAGTGGCCACAGACGGTACCCATAGCAAGGGGCAAGGAGCAGGACTGTTGTGCTGTGGGGCGGGTTGGGATTTCACTCCTCAGCAAGCTGGCTGGGAGCAGCAGCCAGCACCTGGCCAGGGCATCTCTATGGGGAATTGGTTGTTTTGCAGAAATTTCAGCTCGTTCCAGGCCGGGGCATGTCGTGGCAGAAAATGTGAAGTTGTTTGAGCATGGCTAACCTGTTTTTGTCTCTTTCATTTTGTTCTCTTTTGCTTCATCCTGGATGTCTAAAAGGACAGTTGGAACCAATAAATGAGGTGAGTTAATCTGATGATTCACTCTCTGCTCTGTCTCCTCGCTCCATCCTGAGGGGATTGTCTCGTATTTTCTGACTCTTTACTGATGTCCTAGATATAAGTAACGCACCGCATTCTAGGCTGATGATTTTTTTTTCCCCAGTGTCCAGTGTTTGTTTGTGGAAAACCTGTTTTAGTGGAGCAAAACCAGATGTTCCCATGAGGCTTCCTCTGCAGACCTGTGTTCTAAGAGAAAATCCCTCAGTGTGGTGTGATAGCACCCTTGTACCAAGTGATTTGGTGGGATATCTGTGGAGAAATGCTCATGTGCTCTATGTCTTCAGCTTCTTATGGTCCTTCCAAGCTTACATACAGCTGTAGAGTGGTTTGATTCCTGCTCAGCTCTGGGGATGTGCTGTGCTCTCTCAGCTCTGTCTTGTGGCCATGGGACAATGATGTTCTCAGCAATGCTCCAGCAGGCTGCTTGCTGCAGGATGGGACGTGGCTCAGTTTGGGCTTTCTGGTGCAGGCATTCGTGCTCCCTGCAGTGGGCTGGGTGTGCACAAAGTTAATCATCCTAGCAGAGGGAGGCATGCAGACAGAACGCGTTCACTAATCCGTTTTAGTGGCAAATTCGTGCTGTAATGCCTTACGTGAATGGATCATGTGGGTATTACATGCTGACATATCTATGGGGATGAAAAGTGTTCATGTTGCTGTGTTAAGGTTTTCAAATTAAATAGACCTTGCAGAATTAAGTTGGAGCTTTCACTTACCTTCTGGTTTTCACTCTATTCTATTGTATGTTTGCTCATCAGCTTGCTGATGTGCATGAAAGAATAAGCGTGTTTCCACTCCAGCGTGTTGTTACGCAGTAGTGTTTTGTAAATCACCCTCTTGCCAACATACATAATGATACATTGCTACCAGAGGAGAAGTACCTGCAGTGAATGCTTATTTTCCTGCCTTGTTATGGCATCAGTGAAGTTGGGCTGGTAACTGTGCAGCACTTGTCTTTTTGGTATAGATGGAATAAACACAGTTCTTAATGTGCTGTTGCAGAAACACATGAGTACAGCTGAATGTTATTTCTCAATAGCTATTGATGGGTTGTAATCTTGTACTTTGGTTTCCAATGGCTTCAGGGTCTGCTCGCTAGAATCTCGGATCTCTTGCTGTGCCGGTGGACTTGTAGAAATTGTTGTCAGAAGTGTTTCGACTGTAGCTGTTGTCAAACAAATGAAGATGAAGTTGAAATCCTGGGACCTTTTCCTGCTCAGACTCCAGCCTGGCTGTAAGTTTAGCTGCACAATTTCACAGCACTAATGGAAGAGTAGGGCTGTTCAGCTGCGATGGGAGTATTGATATGAAAAGGTGAGAGGGGCTCAGGGTTTGGAGGATGCCATGCATGAAGGAAGGATCTCCCGGTGAGGGTGGGAAAGTAGATGGCTCAGTGGAAAGGAGAACTAGCAGCACTGTTAGCTCAGATAGTGTTGGGAGCCTTGGTAAAGCACCTTCTGGTAGATAGGTCAGAAATTACCTTGTAAGCTGGCATGGAAGCTAATTTGTTGGTTTAGCATTAAAGACTAAATTTCATTTTCTCTACAGACAGACCAGACCTTTGGAGCACTTTCCACTAAGCTGAAATGCTGATGAATTTGTTTTGGAAAAATTTCTTATCTTGGCATTAAGATTGTTATAATCCAGGAAGGTGAAAGGCGTACTTTGTACGTGTTCTGATGAGAAATCCATCCAAAGTTTCATTTAGCAGGCTTGAACTCCTGCATCATCTTAGTCCTTTTCAGGACTTCCTCTCGAATCAGCAAAGAACAAGAGTGACAGCAGCAGGTTTCACCCTTTGAAAATCTAGTACAAAGACAGGCAGTGATCTCTTCCCTTTTTTACTCTCTCTCTTCTGGGAACCAGAGAGGTGACTGCGGAGGCATTGCTGATGATGGCTGTGTTGGGCTGTCTTCTGTGCTCAAAGCCATGGCACAGGAGGTGCCCATTTGGCACATCCCATGATGCTGTGATGTTGGTGGCACTATGATGCTCAGCTAATGTTACCTACTGCTGCGAATACCTGCTGCTGTTCTGTTAGGTCCAAAAGGTCTGTGTGCTGTTGCTGCATGAAATTTGTGTTAAACCCATGTTTAAATCATGGGTTAAATCATTATCTATGTACTTTTTTGAATCGTGGTAGAATAGGATGGTAATTAATACCGAAGCAATAAAAGTGGAAATATTTGAGATGTGTTAGAGTGATTTTTGAATGCTGAACATCATGTTTAAGAGTCAGATATATGCCCAGAAGTTGGCTCACCTGCAATTAATGTGAAATGGAAACAAAATCAATGCTAAGTAGGAAAGCATTGCAGACAGGAGAACGCAGCGATGAGGTAGCAGTATTGGATGTAGAAAGATTGCTGCAGAAACAATTGTGCACCTGGGAGCAAGCAGGCAGCTTGCTGTGAGAGGGAACCTCAGAACTGCCATGCTGAGCAGAGGGCTGTGACGTGCAGCTGGTTGGCCCTGCAGCCAGGTATGGGCTGCTGCATCCTGCCTGGCTCTAGGGCACTGTGATGTGATGATCTTGTGGATGAGCTGGGCTCTGCCACAGGCTGAGAACACAGAAACCTTTCAGCTTGTAAAATGCTCTCTCTCCAGTCTGTATTGTTCTACCCCAATTCCACTCCATCTGAAAGCCTTGATGATTAATTTTGGTAATGTTGATAAACAGAAGATAACACATTCTCAGAGAAGAGCTGGGCATTTTTCCAACCACGTTGTGCTTCATGCTACTCTTCTCCCAATCACGTTGTGCTCAGTGATGCAGCCCAGTAGGGTCCCTAGGACCCCCAGCCTGGCTCACATTCAGGGCTGTGCCTTTGGTGCCACATCTTCACCATTCCTTCCAGCTTTGGGGCAGGTAGGGGCTGGTGGGAGAAGGTGAGTTCCCACAGGTGGCACCTGGGAGGGCAGGCAGAGCCATTAGGGAGGACTCTGTGGATGAGTAATTTGGCTTTGAGTGGCAGCATGAAGGTGTCTGGCCTTGGGATGACTGAAGCCACTCTCCATGCATTGTAGGGCTCTGCTGACTCCTGCTGCTTGGCAGGGATGGGCCCAACGTGGCACCAGGAGAGTGACCTTGTTGGGAGCTGGTCAGGGAGCCCCAAAAGGAGTGGAGTGAGGAGAACAAAGAGCAGAGGTGAGAAAGACATTGAGTGAGAGGATTCCTTTACGGAATTACCTATTGAAAGGTAGGAAACAATGTTGAGTTAGGGTTAGGTCTAGGGTTGGAAATAGGTCTTGGAGTAATGTGTTTAATGGGTATGTTTTTACATACTCAGCTCAGAGATCTCTGTATGCTAATTAATACCATCCTTATTTCTCTTTTTGAAGAGAAAGCTTTTAGATTCAGTGGAAACCCCTCACATGGAAGATGAATGTGACAACGCCATATTCTGCATTTAGATACATGCATTAAGTTTGGGAACAAATCAATTTATTGTATTCCCTGCTCACAGCCTGAAAGCGTTTTAAAAATAAACCCAAATTTTCAGCTGAGGTCTTTCAATGCTGCCATTTCTTCGTGCACCCAGGAAGCAAATGCCATGCGGTTTGCTCCTTCCCTATATCCCCACCCAGTCCCCAGAGAAAAATTGATGCTATGGTCTTCATTTGCCCACTAGCAAACAACAGGATGATCTGTCTCAGTGATCTGTCCTTTGTGTTTTGCATGCAGGTTTTCACTTTGGTAGCTGTGAGACACCTGATGTCCTGGAAATTCAGTAGAGGTCTTTAAGGCTGCAAGTTTAAGTACTTCTTGAGAGGCTGTTGATTTTCCTCACTTTCTGAATTTTCACAGTAGCCTCCAGTAGCAACTTGGAAAAAAAAGCCATACTGAACTGAACCTAATTGCATTGACCTGAATGCGTGGTAGCTGCTGCTGCTTATCTTACGATGAGTGATTGCATCCCAGTCTGTGCAGCGGTGGGCTGGGAATAAGGCTGTGTGCTGGCACTGCCTGTTGTGGAATATTCTTCATAAAAACCCAGAGATAAATGGTGCATGTTTTGTGAGATTAAATTGAAATCAGAACGAGATTCCTCTTCCTAAAGGCTCTGATTAAGCAGAAACAGAGCTGCTTCAGCCAGAGCCAAAGTTTATTTGAGGAAAAATTATTGTAGCTCAGTAGCAATTTCCTTACTAAAGGTCATCTGTATGTTATTAACTCACTATTATGTTTACCCATTGTAGAGCATCCTTAATGCCTCTCTTCCTGATTCCCTTTTCACTCTGCTTTCTTGTTTTGTGCATTTGCTTCTCAGACGTGAACACATCCAAATGCTACGTATGATCATGCAGATCTGCACTTAGGCATGAAAAAACTGTGCTTCTACTGTGTCACACTGCAGGCTTTGGACTGGCTCTAATGGGCTGCAGAGCTGTGCAAGTACTGTGTGCCCTCTTTAACACAGGTTTTGGTTTTGATTTATTTACTTTTGGATTTCCTTCTTTGTTTGTTTATTTTCAGTGCGGATGAGTTGTGTGAGTTGTATGACTGGATTAGTGAGGCTTGCATGTACTGTAAATCCTGCTGTGAATTTTGTGGATTTAGATAAGAAATTCTAGTTTAAATCTCTTTTATATTCAGGGGGCCTTTTCTATTTTGTAAAATTGTATTTCCCCAAACATTTGTTTCTCTAGCTCAGTCACTGATTACTAGAGCAAATGATTCAATGTATTCCATTGGTACCCAGCCTGGCCATGGCCATGGGATGAGTGAATCGGGAGCTGGGCTGGAGCAGCATTCCCTTTGCTTTGCTCATTCTGTGCTGGTGCTTTCCTTGTGACCTGCTGAGATTTCCTGAGCTCTCCGTCTCCTGGATTCACTTAGCGTGGTGCCCTAAGTGTCCCGTGCCACTGCTTCGTTCGTTTCCATCAGCAGACTTCTACCCGTGGCTCAGCTCTCAGGGTGCAGTTGAGGCTGTACCCTCTGCGTGGTTCTCACTCTCCTTCCAGCCAGAGCTGAGAGATCCCAGCAGTGGTGCGTGCCTCGCAGCTGTGAGAAGTTGAGACTTTTAACCTTAGAGAGGAAAACTAAGGTGAAGTGGGAACTGTATGAGGATTTTGTTATGATCCCAGTCTCCTACTGAATCCTCTTGAGGTGCTTCAGCTCTCAGTGGCACTGTTACCGGGTTCTGCTGTCCACTCCCTGCCCCCACCAAGACCCCGTGGGCAATACCATTTCTGTCTTTTGAAGGTCACCTCTGCTTTATAGGAGTGGATAAAAAGCAGCCAGTTCTTTTAAAAGGCATATCAATAGATTTATTGAGTTTTGAAACCTCAGCATTGTGTCTGCAAAGTAATATTTTACTGAGAGAGGTGTTTGGTGGGACTGGGATGTCTGAGCATGATGGTCTCCCATGCTGGCTCCTTCCTACTGGTGGCCACTTCCAGAGAGCACCAATGGATTTACAGCAGTAAGCTCGTGTTGTGAGGTGTTTTTGTTTGTTTTCTTTTTTTTTTATTTGCTCAAAAACGAATATACTACTGCTGATTGAGGTCCAAGTCACGTGCCTTTGTGGCCTGTGTTATGCTCTGATGCTGATACACTCCTTCTTGAAAGGCAGGCAGAAAGATAATCTCCTTTTTACATAGGCATGAAGTCAGTTGCTCAGCCTTCTGCTTGCCAAGTAGATGTGAAGGAGACACCCTGCAGCATCCTGGGATGTGCACGCAAGATTAGAATATCCAAATACATTTTTGTTCTGTATGTAGTCCTTCTACTGTGTTGAATCACCCAAAGGTCTCTCATTATAACAGGATAAGCAGCCAAAATGAGGACAAAAACGGAGACTCTGATAATACAATCAGTGACCTGCCTCCCACTCATCAGGATGTTTCCCCTGACAGAAGGCGGTCGTCTTCAGATACATCACGGTCCACTTACAGCCTCACCAGGCGGATTTCAAGTAAGGTCGTCCTTCCAACATTAATGTAATTCTTGTGGGGGAAAAAGTCAGAGTGTATTGCCTGCTCTTTCATCTCTTAGACAGGTAATCAAGTCCGAGCTGAAGGTACATTGATTAAAATCTTATCCCGTTCTGCAGGAACATGGTGGAAGAGGCCAGCCTTGTTCTTCTTGCTAACGCACGTGTCTGGTGAAAATGGATGGGGGGGAAGCGTAGCTGAGATTGCTCTGCAGCATAACAAAGGGTGCTATTAATTTTTTTACAGGGTAGTGGTGGAAGGTCCCACGTTACACAGGTACAGAATAGCCAAACGTAAAGAACCACGAGATGCCTTGGGTCTCTAATAGGTTGAGTTTCTAACAATCATATTTATGCACTTTTCTTTTTTAGGTTTAGAGATGAGGAGGCCAAGTTCTCCATTAATTGACATTAAACCTATTGAGTTTGGAATAATAGGAGCCAAGAAAGAAATAGTTCAGCCAACTATCCTGCGGAAAACCTATAGTCCAGATGACTATTTTAGAAAATTTGAACCAAGACTGTACTCTCTTGACTCGAATAGTGATGATATGGACTCCTTGACAGACGAGGAAATCTTATCCAAGTACCAGCTGGGCATGCTGCACTTCAGCACTCAGTACGACCTGCTGCACAATTACCTGATAGTGCGAGTCATTGAGGCTAAGGATCTGCCTCCCCCCATTTCGTACGACGGCTCAAGGCAAGATATGGCTCACTCCAACCCCTATGTGAAGATCTGCCTGCTTCCAGACCAGAAGAACTCCAAACAGACTGGAGTTAAGCGCAAAACTCAGAACCCAGTGTTTGAAGAGAGGTACACATTTGAAATCCCATTTTTAGAAGCCCAGAGAAGAACTCTGCTTTTAACTGTAGTGGATTTTGACAAATTCTCACGCCACTGTGTCATTGGCAAAGTGTCAATGCCCTTGAGTGATGTAGACCTTGTGAAAGGCGGACACTGGTGGAAATCCCTTGTTCCTAGTTCTCAGGTAACAGAATTGATCGCATTATTACCACAGTTTTTCCTGCTGTGTTTGTTTGTTGGTTTTGGTTATGGTTTTTTTTTCTATCTGTGTTTCCTCCTTTCTTTGTTAGCATTTAATACTATTTTTTATTAGTTGATGTTATCTTGTTAATACAGCATCTGCTGGGTTGAGATGAAGTTGAGCCTCTAGCTGGCCTCGTAGCTGTTTTGCTGTGGGGTAGAGAAGCTGCCTTCTTTCATAGTCAAGGGAGGTGGAATGACAAAAGATTTATGTCAACTCCAATGAGAGCAAATCAAAACTGCTTTGGAAATCTGCACTTTGTGGAAGATCTTTCTTGTCACTGCAGTGACCTGCCTCTGTTCCCAGACACTGCAGTGACACTGTCTCTTCTGGGTCACTCCTGTGGTTGTTCACATGACTGTGCTTTGGAGAACCACTGGCACCAGTTCAGTAATGATCTGATGCAAAGAAAGCATATAGAAGACAAAATCCATCCCAGAGCAACAAATAGCAAGGTAATTTTATTTCTGTCATGTCCCTGAAGGAAATTAAACTTGCCACAGATGATATCTGATGTGAATGGCATGTTGCATGCACGCAGCTTTGGGCCAGCAGTGTGGCCTGAATGGGATGGCAGAAGGATGCAGAGGGGGTCCTGTGCCAAGAGGGCTCCCAATAGCACTGCTTCCTCTGCACTGGGAAAGGAGCTCCTCAGGGGGAAGGGCTGAGCTTTGCCACCAGGGCCTGCAGCGTGCTGCCAGGTCTGCTTCTGGCAGTGCCACCTGCAGCAGCCTTGCACAAAGCGCAGCCAGAGCTGGGCATGGGTGGCATTGTAGCAGTCTGTGCTAAAGACTGGAGTGTCACCGGAGGCTGATATAATGTGATTGCCTCTACCTGATTGTCACCACCTGTGAGATTACAGTTTCTAAGTCTTGCTGTCTTTGCTGAATCAAAAAGCCTGTGTGAACTCAGAAGGTTCGTGGTTCTTTTGATTTATGTCCACAAAAGCATAGCTGGAAGTGCTGCACAAGATGAGCAACAGATTGCTGACCTCATCTGTGATGTTTGGGTCTGAGAGTGTGATGTGGAGTGGGATCTTGTCCTCAGGTGCTTGTGGAAAGGAAACCCAGCCATGCAGCGTGCGGTGACTGTGCTGCTCTGGGCTCCAGTGACTGCAGGAGCTTTGTGCTTCATCTCACAGCAGAGGACCTTATGACTTATGGCTGCATTTGCTGGAGCACAAGCAGTAGTGTTACAGGACTAGCCAGAATGTTTCTCATGCAAAAAGGAAAGTTCTGAAAAGGTGAGCAGAAGTGAACTCTGCAGGCTCCTGCTGCCTGTGTGGGGGTCTGCTTTGCTTGGTAACAACCTGATGGGGAAGGAGGGGGCAACTGGATTGCAGATGTTCATCTTCCCTATGAACAAGCACAGAGATCCCTGGGGTCCCCTCTCTGCCATTTTTTTCCAAATGTGTATTCACAAATGCGTATTACTTTTTTTCTTTTTGGTTTTGGTGGCTCATAATGGGCTCAACATTGAAGTACCTGAGGACAGAGGTCTCTTTGCATCCCACTTATTCTCCTGTGATTCATACCACGCAGCCTTGCTTTTTTAAATTTTTTTCCCCTCTGCTTTTGCACAATAAACATTTTCCTGTATTCTGTGTCTATTAGGAATGTGGTTGCAGTGCTTTGAACACAGCCATGCTTGGACAAGGCCATCTCAGCCTCTGTGTCAGGGGCCAGCCATCCTCCAGCTATAAGGATAAACGCATCTATCAGAGGGTTAAAATAAATACTGGAAGCAGTAAAACAATACAGCTTGTTACTTTGAAGAATTGCATCTTAATATTTTCCAACAGCGGTAGTATTTGTCCTAGAAGTTTGTATTGTTAAATTGCCAGTTGAGAGATTCTGCCTTTTGGCATAACAGGTTTGACATGCTGATAGATATTTTTTAATACTTCTCACTTCTTTGCTTGGTTAGCTGTGCAGCAGCCTTCATCTGTTTTTTGTTGGGTTGAAGATGAGTCTGCCAAGTGCATTTTGTGTAGTGAAATCACTGTAGACTGGGACAGAAGCACCCAGTGACACCAGTAGTGGTGTTGGTCAGACACATGTCCTGGGATCTGGAGAAGCTGAAACAGATTCTCATAAAGCCAGCAGTGGGAGATAAAGATAAGATAGGTGTACACTGGGATATGTAAAGATGGGAGATAGAAAACGTGAGGGTGTGGGTTTTTCTTTTTTTTACTGGCATTCATAGGGGAAAACGTGATGAGCATGAGAGATGGAGGGAAGTGAATCCAGGTGGCTGTGGAGAATGTTTTCTTTCTACCAGTGGGGTGGAATGTCTGTTTTGCTGCCTGGAAACCATTGCCAGGGTATGTGCAGAGGAGGGCAGGTGCTTCTGGGCAGGGATGGCGTGTGGTCCTCAGCAGCAGAACGTCGCTGTCACCTCCTCGTGGAGCTGCTTGTTAACTGAGAGCCTGGAAACTTGCCTCAGGTACAACTGCTCAGATGAACCAGACTGTGTGGCATTGTGTGCTTGTTATGTGGGCTGAAATGGAGTTGTTGCATCTGGATGGGTATAGTTGGTGTCATCAGATAAACTGCATGTGTGTGAGCAGTGTGCTGTCCTCTCAAGAAAACAGGCACTGAGATCATTAATGCTAAGCATTGGGTATAAGACCATGCCTGTGCGTAAGCATATTTTCGTTTTGGATCGTGTGCTAAGCATTTGGTGGGACTGAATCCAAAGGGGAGGCACAGGGGAGCTGCCATCCCATATGTGATCAGGGCCAGCAAATAAGCAGGCCTGACTCCTTGTAGGAAATGCCAGTGCAGGTGCTGCCAAATTCTCTATCCTCGGTAGATCTGGATGGCTTTTTCTTCTAGGTTAGCTGCTCACAGAGAAGCTTTTGAGTCCAGTCTGATGGGAATGCTGCGCTCCTTAAATATCCTCTTAAATGTGTGTGGCTTCACTTAATTACCATGAATGAAGTTGGCAGCCCTTGCTGTGGCTGTGCTCAGATTCACACATTTTCCTGTTAAGATTAATTCTGAAACACATGTTAAGGACCCCAACTTTTATTGACATATGATTCATTTCTCTTTTGGCAGATTTGAGTAGGCAGGAATAAATGTTTTAGACCAGCAGTAATGAGAGCTTGGAGACCGTTCTGCAAAAGAAAAAAACTTGCGTGGTTGTAGTTGGCAGAAAATAACATTAAAAAAATCCTCCTCCTCCCCAGTGTGGCCATTTATGTAATAGCGATAAGTGTTGGACTTGCCTTTTTAACTTCATACTATGAGAGCACTAGAGTGACGGGCTTTTGCAGAGCTGTCATCTTTGTCCGTGCTTCACAAATAGCTCTCCTGTGGCAGGGCTCTACAGTGTTTGACTCCCACCTCAGAGACAAGCCTACAGCAAGCATCACACTGTTGTTCTTACCATGCCTTGGTTGGGAAGGAGAAGTGAGGAAGGGATCTGAAATACAAGAAATGAGTCACTTCTGAGCATTTCCTTCACCTTGCCTTGAATCCTGGGTGGCCTTAGCATTCTGCTGGAAGCCTCCAGGTGAACATGCTCTAAGTTTGCTCTTGGCACTGCCATTCCTGGGTTAGCTGTTGCACTTCTGAGAAGGTACGGTCTTTGGGGTACCTGTTACGTTTGACACTGGGCAGTGCAGGGCATTACCCGGCAACGTGCTGGCACGCATCTCTCTCGCAGGCATGGGACAGATGAAAAAGTGTCTGGCAACTTTGCTCAGAGAGCCTTGACACAGCAGCTGGTTCAACCTTGTGCATATCAGCGTGGAACTGAGTTCATGTTGGTGGTACGGCGTTGCAGGAATTAAAATGGAAGTGAGTTATTGTCAAGGTTTATTCCCTATTTTTCAGGCATAGCTGTCTAATTAAAAGAGGTGGTGCAGAATCAGTGCTGATGAATGAAATATATGTATTTCAGTTCCTGAAATATGTGTATATATAAATATATTATTATATATAATATATATTTCTGATCCTTAGTAGCTCAGCCTTCCATGAATGATTGTTGTGTGTCACAGGATGCTGTAGAGAGCCTGTTAGAGCAAACTGTTCTAAGCCATCCGTTTCCTAATGTGCCTGGAGGTATCATCACAGATAACCTGGAGGAAGAAAATCAATCTAAAACTTCATTAGCAGTGTTGCATAGATGTCTGTGCTGATGTAATGTGCTCTGGTTCCCATCGGGAACTGGGGAGAGTTTTTAGCTGCAGTTTTGCTGGTGTCGTAGCAATACAATATGAGCAGCCAGGGTGGGCTGTCAGTAAGGAATCGCCCTAATCAAAGAAGATGTGCAAATGACATTATTTATAAACCTCTTCTTCTCTTGGGATAGCCTTGTTGTGTTTCAGAGCGGACAGAAAAAACAAAGCTGTCCTTTGTCTGTTTGGTTCAACTCAAGTGATAAGGGCAGAAGGTTCTGGATGAGAGGCCAGCCCAGGGCTGGCAGTGTGATAGCAGCCGAGAGGAGCAGCCAGGAGTGAAATGCAAATTCAGCTTCAGGAGAGTCTCAGACATCCCAGGCTCGATGTCACTTAGGCACCTAATCAAACAGGAAATTGCTTTCCCAGGTCATCTGGGATCTTGCACAAATCAGCGCATAGTCAGCATGCTAATGGGAGCTCAACCGAGGCCTTGGAGAGGTGCTGCCTGAGGGGCAGCTCTGAACATTGTGTTCTGTGAAGAGCACATCCAAGGCAAAACCAAAACAGACAGCATTTCATGTTTCTGATGGACAGGCAGGAAAGGGAAGATTCAGATGCGCTTCCTCTCCCTGCCGTGTACCTTGTGCTGATGACAGCTCTTATGCTGTTAAGCTCCTGTTCCTCTTTGCTCAGCCAGTGTGTGAGTGTGAGATTTGGGAAGGCTTCAGTAAGCAACAGAACAAAAGCTGTGCTTCTGTGCCTTGAGTCCTCTCAGGAAAACATGCTTTGACATTGCTCTTACTGATAGAGATGTCTATAAACAGCATGATGGCCAGCAGAACGAAAGTCCAAAGAGGTATACTGTGTGCCCAGGGTTTTTTGGAGCACCCAGGTAGTTCTTTTCCTATTGGTTAATGATGGCTGCAAATGACGAGCCAAGAGCAAGAAAAAACTACTAAGTGTGGTGTGATGGTGTCCGGCCAGCCTGCTGGAGAAGAACCTGGTGGCTGCTCCCAGCTGTGGATGCTGGCTGACCACCTGGTGCCCCTTGGCCACAGTGCAGGGATTGAGACACATTTCCTAGATTCTCACAGTTGAACTAGAAATAATACATTTATAGGACCAGAGGCAGTTCACTGCTCATGTTAAGTGCTTTTAAAGGTCTGAGTCATTCATACCGTAGGCTATTTGGGGAGCTGGGTTTCCTTGTGAAAGCACCTTTTGTTACTGCTGGAAGCACTCCTGTTGTTCTGCCTTGCTGTGGGGCCACTTTGTTTGTTGGGCACAGCCACTCTGCGTCGTCCTTTGCAGGCTGCATTGTACCTCACCTCCCTTAAGGTAATTAGTAAAAAGTCTGGACACACTTGGAAGGCAGTGAGAGCTAGAAAGGCTCCGCTGGGATTTGGGAAAGTAAGCCTGATCTGAGACTCCCTAACACTGGTTGTAGTCTTCGGAGTCCAGTGGATCACACAAAGTTTACAACATTTTGTGTCTCTCCCATGTAGTCAGAAGGGTTCTCTGAGAGCTGCCAGTATCTCTGTTATGTTGGTTGCTGCTGAAAATCAGGGAAGTAGTTTTCCCTTTCCCTGTTAAGGCTCAGCACTGTCTGGCAGCAACATGCTCGTATTACATGGGCTCCTGGCACAGCTCAGTGAGATCAGCTGTGCCTCCAGCGGGCAGATCCAGATGGAGTTACCTCAAATTTTGGATGTCCAGCACTCCTAGCTTGAGGTGATCTATGGAGAGTCTTACCTTCCTGTCCGGTGTCAGCCCGCCTCCATCTGCACCAGGAATCTGATATTTACAGCCTAAACTGTTGGGCTGTGTCATTCCAGCTGGTAATAGCATCGTTAATTAGCTTCTTAATTTGTGCTGTCTGAATGTACCTGAATTTCTAGGAATTAAAGTCTGCATGGAACCCAGCACAGCGGTGAATGCAAGTGGAAAACAAGGCTGGATGCATTAAAAATGTTCGTGTGTTATTTTAAAAAAAAAAAAAAAGAAAAAAGCTGAGGGATAGTGCAGGTGGATCATGTTTGCCTAGCGTGGGTTGTATAATGCTTCCTTACTGTGCTGGTGATAGATTTTACAGGCCAGGTGTGAACACTGAGATTAGCTCTTGTGATTTGCCAGGCAGGAGGGACACTGGGTGATGGCGGTGGGGTGGCTGTCTGCTGTCTGAGGGCTCCTGGCAAGGTCTGAACTGTGCTTGGGGTGGCCGTTCCCAGTGATACATTTGTCTGAGTGATTTTGGGGAAATATAAAAAATGATACAAGTAGGCATTTGAATCACATTGAGCATGATGTTGCACAAAGGATCTAGGACAGCAGTCCTAGGCTATGAAAATTTATGTGAGTATGGCTTGGTCTTGCAAGAGTTCTGAGCATGATGTACGTATTAAGGGAATGGCTTGCTGATGGAAATAATTGAAAATATCATATATTGAAGAGCGCTGTCATGTGGGGCTGCACAAAGGCTGATGGAGGGGACATGCCATCCAGGAAAAGCAAAAATATTGCAGCAACAGCAGGAAATACATGTTGTTAATATGAGCCTCTGATCTCATCGTGACCTGCATAACGTGACCTGAGAGATGCTGTGAAGAAGGGAGTAAGGGATAAGAAGTCAGGTGCTTTTTCTGGTGTGGGAGGGAGGAAAGGTGCCAGCAGGATGGGCCAGCTTGGGGCTGACACTGCTGATGTGGCCCTGGGGTAGCCAGGGGTGCAGGGAATTGATGTGGTGGGATCAGGTAGACTCTTGTTGTATTTTCCATATAAAGGAAAAAAAAAAATGGCATCAGAGGCACAGGCCTCCCTCAGCCTGCCATCTGCTCCTGCATGCCGAGCACATCCTGCTGCCTTCGCCAGGAGCAGCCAGCAGGAGCAGAGGAGACAGAACGCCTGCGGGAGAACTTTTAACATGATTACGTGACGTCAGACGCAGCACTGGGCTCGGCCGTGAGGAGCTGGAGGGGCAGCCCCATGCACACCGGGTCTGGGCAGAGCTGTGGTGTGCTCGCTTTGGTCACTCTGCCTGGGATGGGCAGCTCCCATGCTGACCTGTCTGCTGGTGAAACTGGGCCAGCTCTGGCTGTGTATTGCAGCTTTTTCTCTGTATTGTCTACCCAGTCGCTTAGTCTCCGATTTCTTTAATCTTTGGGGTATCATTAAAGATATTTAAGCCTTTTGTTATGATAGCAATGCCAAAGCAGCTCCCTTTTCTTCTGGGAATGGGCAGTGTTGGTCAAATCTTGGCTTGGTTTGGACCTTCCCTGCACCATGAAATGCAGAGCTGGCTTTGGGCTTCTGCAGGGAAGTGTGAGGGGCTGGTGGCCAGCCCTGGTGTGGGCTCTGCAGCTTCAGCCTTGCTTCACTGAACATTGTTTGCATCTGAGAGTAATGGTGGCTCTGAGCCAGGTCAGGCTAAGGGGAAGAGGTTATTCTGTGCTGTCATGTCTGAGGAGCAGTAATGTCAGTTCTCCAGCTCTTTTTATTAGTAGTATTACAGTTTCTAAGCATCATTAAGTAAAGTGAAAGGAAGGTAAATAATGGCTGAACAGTGACGTTTCTGTCATACATCCTGACAAAAAGCAAGGGGTGGGCTAAGCCCTTTTGGGATGGGCAGAGCTGGGTACCAGAAGACAGCTCTGGATCCTCCCATAAGACCCAGGGACATGCTGACCATCTGCTCCTGAGTTGTGCCTGAAGTTCCCAGGGGGCTGCTGGTGGTCGCTGGGGCCGGAGAGGGGAGAGGACATCTCAGATGGAGTCCATGTTGTGTGTGTTAATCAGGAGGTGAGGCTGATGAGATGAGAACAGCATGGAATCGCTCAGAATGAAGAGAGGGGGAGAAACTACTGACCTTGTATTCCTTCCTCCTTATAGGTCCTCTTTGCAACGACTGCTGAAAAGCTGCTGAACGATCAGAGGTTAAAGAACAGATCTTCATCTGGGGATAGTATTCTTTCTTGTTTCTGCTCAGCACGAGGTACCACCAGATGGTTCTTGGTTGCAGCTTAGAGTGTGACTAAAATTTGTTTTTCAGGCACTTAGGCAAATGGGATTTATTTAATTTCTCTTCCTGCTCTTTCCTTCCCCTCCAAGCTATGTTCTGAATTTCCACATTCCCTTTTCCCTATAGAATGAAGTTGAGCTGGGAGAGCTGCTGTTGTCATTAAACTACCTGCCCAGCGCAGGAAGACTGAATGTGGACATCATTAGAGCAAAACAGCTTCTTCAGACAGACATGAGCCAAGGTTCAGGTAAAGGGCAGGGTATTTCTCACATTACTCATGCACAGCTTTTATATCCTTCTAAAGCAGACCGCCAGCAAGGCTGCAATTTGTGCAGGATCTAGGGGGATTTGGATGTTCAGTTCCTTTTAATACAAGGCACTGGATACTCATTTTATATATGTAGTCAACAGTAACCAAAGTGGCCAGAACACTTACTCTGAGCTAAAACTGAGGGTATGAATGCCTTTGTGACACTGAAGTTCAAAATCTCTGAACCAGAGTGAGGTGAGAAGCCAGAAGTCCCAGTTACCTCCACGTTCCATTTTGTAAGACAGCCTGTTTAAGGTTGTTAAGATACTGAGCACTGTGTGAATGATAATACTGCAGTGATTTTATTTAGGGTAACTAGCTGCTCTGTGGACAACGTTAGGTTTTCACAGTGTCCATGCCTTGCTCCCTGCTGCTTCTGAGCATGCAGACTGGTAGCCACGTGCTGCACCAGGCCATGCTCCCTGCCCCAGCATTGCTGCTGTCAGAATGCTGGCATTTTTTAGAAAGAGCAGAGCATCTGGCCTGAGTCAAGGCTGTCATTAATTGTCTTGGTGTGGTTTCAGTGGGAGCGTTACTAAGGCAGCTGCCCGGCTCCTGCCTCCCTGCTGTGCGGTGCTGCAGGCCTCAGTCCTTCCCCAGCGCTGTTCTCCAGCATGACCCAGCCCCGTGTCGCTGTGCCCAGCTGTGCTGAACCTTCCTGAACCAGGACGTTGTCACTACTCCAGTAACGTACAGCCTGAGTTTATTATGTTTTTGTCAGATCCCTTTGTGAAAATTCAGCTTGTTCATGGATTGAAGTTAACAAAAACCAAGAAAACCTCCTGCATGCGGGGGACGATAGATCCCTTCTACAATGAGTCCTTCAGCTTCAAGGTTCCCCAGGAAGAACTGGAAAATGCCAGCTTGGTGTTCACAGGTAAATGTGCTGCTGTTATTGGTGTGGCGTGGCCTTACTCTCCTCTGAGGTGAGCAAAACAGCATTTGCAGGCATGCAGCGAGCCCATGCAGGGCAGTGCTGGTCCTGGTAGCTGCTCCGGAAGGGGTGGCTATTGCTGGAGTTCTGGGGTAGCTCAGTAAGCATGCTGTGCTCTTCAGAGCCCTCCACAGCTTGAGTCTGGAGCTGCTGGGGATGCACCTTGCCTGTTCTGTGCTTAATTTGTGCCACTGGAAATGGTTTTGTGCATTAATTACGCTCTTGGTGATAAAGCCAAAAATCAGAAGAATAAGAGATGAGCATTGAATGATCCTAAACCCAGCCATTGGCAAAGATAACTTTTGTTACCTGACGTAGTTTGCCTGTCAGATGATGCAGTCAAGGCGTGTAGCACTGACATCACCTCTTCCCTGCAGCACAGCTCCACTGGAGGAGTGCTGGGGCTGAGTGGTGGCTTTGGGGACATACGCTGCACCCACAGCCACTCTTGAGTTCCTGTGCCTCTAATTTTATTTTTTGGCAGATTTCTGCCCATTAGTCATCACCTTTCCAAAGAACAGAAATGGATCTGTATCTGGAAGAAAATATGTTGACTTACTTTATTCCTTACATGGCAGAAGCAGGTGTCACAGCCTGTACCAGGAGCCTAATTCCCACCCATTACCTTGTTTCCAAAAGTGATGCTGATCAGTAATTTAAATCATGCCCTTCATGTTCAAATATTTCCTCAGCCAAAAGCCTGTAATTAATCACATCTTTGCATGCACGTTGTCCTGAATGCACCTTTCATGTGCAATGATGAGTGTGTGCTTCTGTCAGGTGTTCACATGACAGATATGAAATACTCTTCCTTGTTTTCATCTTATAGGAGAATAAGTGGTTGCAGGATCAGCACTGTGTGACAGGGAGGGTGAGGGGGTGTTCTGCTCCTCTCTGAAGCTGAGGAAGTTGGCATTGCAAAGTGGCTATTGGATTATTTTTATTTTTATTTTTTTCTCTGTGTGTGTGTTCAAATGGATGTATTTTAAAGTAAGTGAGTTGGAAGTTAGTTGTGTGATTCATAATCATACATAATGCAGTCAGGTTTCAGTGGTGTGTCTTTTACTTGGCACTTGGCTGGTAATGCTTTCCTTGGAAGTTGCAATAAGTAATCCTGAAGTGTCCATTTTTGCTCTAGGCTTTTGTTTGCTTTGCTTTTGCTGTTGTGGTGGTTCTTTTTGTTATTTGTTTTCTGGAGCTGATTTTTAATTTTATCTTTTTTTTTCCATGGCTCTAGTTCTTTAGGTCAGTTAATTAAATTTGCTGTTGAGTCGAAGTCCAATTGAAAAGGAAGATAATCGTGCTTGAAGGGTGGTTGATGCTGCTCTAAGTGGGTAGAGAGCTGCCAGTCACTGAAGCCAGAAAATGAGTATATCTTCAATAATTTAAAGGAGCCCTTTTTGTGGCTTCATATTTTGGACCCAGTGTACAGCTGTCTTTACATTGGCTTGGCTTCATTTGAAGGTGGTGGAGCCGTGCCAGTCCCTATCAGCTCCTGCCTCCCTCTGTGTAGCTACACTGCAGAGTGATGTGCTATCAGACAAAGTACAGTTATTATTTTTTCCATGGTGTTTTTTTTGTCTTGAACAGACTATCTGGCTTTCAGTGCACTTAATAGAGATTTGTGCCTGTTTCTCCTGTGACTTTCCCAATGACAGCCCTGCAACCTGGCAGCTCTGTAGGCTTTCCTCTGCACTGTGTTCTTCGTGAAGCTGCAGAGAACCACCCTTGGACTGACCCCACATTAGGGCATAGCTGTGCTGGGGATGGGAAGCCTGTGTGTGCAGATGGGGAGTGTGGGGCCAGCTCAGCATAAGCAAAGATTTGGGGTATTTGGGACCATTCCTTAGACTTTTCTTCTTCCTTAGAATCAGAATGATTAAGGTTGGAAAAGACTGCTAAGATCATCTAACCGTCAACCATCCCCAGCATGCCCACTAAACCTTGTGACTCCTTGGGCATGTTGGGACTGAATTCTGGAGGTTATTGGTGTTCACAACCCAAAGTGCTTCTCTTTCCTTCCATATTGGTGCAGGGCACGTGTGCCTTCTTCTCAGGTGCCTTCTGGGGATGTTGCTGCCTCAGGGTCCCCACGTGGTGCCCAAAAGAAGGTGAGATGAGCTGGGGGGAGGCTGTCTCCACCAGAGCACCATCTGTACACAGCTCCTCACCAGAAGAGGCTAAAACCAGGAAAATGATCAAACGATGTAACAAGCTCAATTAGTGATGCAACAGCTTGTAGAGATGTTTAATTGTAATTTACTTCATCCAGCACCTTGTCTTGGTAATGAGACCTATGCAAATCTCCTTGGGTGTGGGCAGCTTGAGAGCTGGCCCTAGCAGGCAAATATGGAAGGACAGCAGGTTCTCCTGAGCACACATACCTCTGAGCAAAGGCATTCATTATTCTTTGTCCTGTGGATAGTGGTATTCAGCTGCTGCCTCCAAGCAATAGCCTGAGGTCACCCCTGGGCACACTGCTGAGAAGGTTTGTGCAACAGCAGCTCTGTGCTCAGGCTGGCTGAGTGCTGGCCTGCAAGTGTGTGCTCTTCCCTGGGAGGTTTGGGACTCAACCCCAAGTCCCAGCCTAACCTTCAGAAAGCAAGAGGCACGATGACACCTGACATCCAAGCACTGTGGTGTTTTGTTAATGATTATAGCGTTGTTAATAACAATCGGGTAATGCTGTTTGCGGTGCAGTAAAGCCCAGATGGTCCAATAAAAGCCACTGGAGCTCTGGAGCGAATCGCATCTTGGTGACTCTCTGTCTTCTGATCACTTACAGCTTGCAGGCACTTTCTCTTCTGCACCATCTGTAGGATTTTCTTCACGTTTCGATGTGGTCATGTAGGACCATGTTGGTTTTGTTTTAGTTTATTTTTTTAGCTCCTAGGGAAGCATAGTTAAATGGTGGGATGTTGAACACCTTCAGCTGTGCTTTCAAGGGCTGCCATGCTCCACGGGGCTGAGACAACACCGTGAGTGTTCCCTGCAGCAAGCACTGCTACGGTTCATGTCTTCAGCCCCAACATTGTGCTGACGCTTTATCCTGCAGCTCTAATTAACTTCCAGTTAATAGGAAGTGCTTGATTAAAATAACAGATTGCTGTTCGATAGCAGTATACCTCATTCCTCGTTACCTTGTTTTCTCTTTCCCTCAGCCCTTGGGGAAATGTAAGAACCGTTTAACGAAGTTTGGATTTTCTGAGGAAGAAAAATCCTTGTAGGGATGTGTTGATAATGGTGTTGTTTTGGTGCTCAGTTTGCTTTGATTGAAATGCTTTATTTTTTGAAGAAGTACTGCTTGCAGGAGTTGTTTTGGGTTTGATATTAGAAAAAATTCCTTCTCAGAGGGATGAAGTATTGCAGTATGGCTGCATGGGGGGTGGTGGAGTCAACATCCCTGGAGGTGTTCAGGGAACATGGAGATGTGGCATTGAGGGATGTCAGTGGCATGGTGGGGGTGGGTTGATGGTTGGACTTGATGATCTTTGTGGTCTTTTTCCAGCCTTAATGATGTATTAACTTCTTACTGATCTCAAACCTGCATTTACCCAAAGCATCTTGATATAAAGTTATCTGGGATTCACTCTGGGTCAGCGGTGGTCAGGCTGGTGGTGCAGACGTTGGACATGAGGGGATGCTTTTGCTAAAAGCGAAAGTTTTTTAAGAGTCCCAAGAATGGCATGCAGACACATCAAGGATTTTCAATTTTTTTTTTTAATTAATAGGCTGGTTTCCAAATGTTCAGATAATTGGAACAGGTTGAACTTAGATAATAGATTTGTCCTCAGGCTACTCCAGAAATACGTGTGAATTTTGATTTGCCTGGCTGTATACTGGAATCTGAAGGTCATGCTTTCATCATCTTCAGGTGCCCATTTGCAAGGGGTGAAAAACACAATCTGTTTGGGGTCATTACATGTCTGATTTCTGACTTGCTGCTTCAGATGTTCATGTCTTGTTTCTCCTATTGCTTTGATTTCTCACAAAAATTCAGGAATTTTGTCTTTTGCACACATCTATGGGAAAAAAAAAGTTCTCTCCTCTAACATGAGGCAAGTGAAACTTCTTTTTTTTTGCCTCCCCCATGCTGACATACAGGAAAAAGAGGTGGTTTCTGTTTTTTTTCAATGCTATGCTGGGCCATGTAATATCTCTTAGGTAAATAGATAGGCAATTTGCTGCTAGAAGATTGTTTCTGTTAGATCTGTGCTTCTGAAGCAATGTGATATCTATGTTTCATATATCAGGAATATAGAGATATTGCAGGTCAGAAGAGGAATCCAATCTGTGCTTAAACCTGTGTAATCCTATCTTAGTTGAAGGAAGAAAAGCAAAAAACATTGATGTCAGCAGAGGATTTTCTCAGGATTTAGACCTGTTTAATTTAGATCAGAAATTGGCCTTTGTTTCTGGTGTTGCAAAATACTTTATGCATTTATGCAGTGTGCACCATATGGTCCATGCCTGGCTTTAAGGATAACAGAGCAGTGCTGCTGCTCTTCTCTGCATGGTGTGACCCAGCAGGTCATCAGGAACACCTCTGCTCCTGGGGCAAAGGGACCCCAAACCAGCCCTGGAAATGGAAGATTGGCTATAAAAATAGTCACCTGGGGCCTTCCCATGGGCAGAGGTCCTGCGCTGGGCTGTGAACTGCTTTCAGGCTTTGGCACGAGGCTGTGGGCAAGCTGCTGCACGAGAAGGTGCTGGTTCCCTCTGCTGAGACACCGGGGGATCCAAACCCCCTCCAGCCTGCCTGCGCTGCGGGATTCAGGCTGCCTGGAGGAGATGCTCAGGGCTACTTTTGCCTTTTTGCACCAGGCTGGCCACTTTAATGAGAAAGACAGGATTAATAACAATGAGAGCACCAGGATGTTTGTGCTTCTGCACCAATCTGTTGCTTGCAAGTGAGGCAAAATGAAGACTCTTCATTCTGCCTGACTTTGTTAATAAGAAGTCGGTGGCTTCAGTCTCTGCATCACTGCAGGCATGGCAGAAAATTATTGTTTCTGGAGTTCTCTGGAATTTTTTAGCAATTGTCTTCTAAAGAAAAGAGCAGTCGCTCTTGGAGCTGACCTGCAGCACTTGCTGATGTTGCAGCCCATTAATTTAAACAGTGTCACGCCTCTCTCGACCTCGCTCTTTTTATCTTGTTTTGCTCATGCAATGGTGAAAGAAATTACTGCAGCAGCTCACTGGGCTGTAATCTTTCTGTATATCAAATGAGGAACAATCTGTGTGGCGCTGGCTGCTGTGGGTGTGAAACTACCTGGGGATGAGATGCCCATGCTGGGGGCATGGGATGTGGAGCTGCCTCCCTGCTGCTGGGTTTGGCCACTCTTGGGGTTCAGATTCCTTCTGCAGCTGGGTGCTGTGGGCAGCCTGATGGAGGAGGTGCAGGGAAGTGAGTTTTCCATGCAAATCAGAGCCTGCGGAGATTAAATTGATAAGTGCAAATCTACTGTGTTTCTTCCCTTGCTTTTCTGTTTCTGCTGAATATTACTGGCCACACTTAAGGAGCAAAGGGCAAAATTTAGTCCACCCCATGGCCTTCACAGTGAGCATGGTTAGTCTGCCTGCTAACAACACCCACTCTGCACTAAGTAGCTCTTCAATATTGATGTCAAGCAGTTCAGAAGTAGTTTCATACCCATTTAACTGGCAGAATAGACCTTTTAGATGATGGAGACAGCATGGAAAAGGCTGGACACTGATTTTCTATCTGTACTGGGCTGGGGAAAGAAATGCAGCTTGCTTGCTGCACTGCGTTGTGTGCCCAATGTGCTGCACTGAAATACAGGAGTGCCTGGGAGCTCACTGAGTTCTGGGACTGGAGAGGGTGGACCCATGGGAGTTAAAGGCTTGGTGCTAATTGAGTTAGTGTTCCTTCTCAGGAGATAAAGATCTTGCCAGACTTATTTTCCCAGTAAGGTGCTGCCACCCAGTTGCCCACCTGCAGTTTTGGTTAAGTCTTTGCTATTTTTCCTTTTCCTTGCAGTCTGGTTGCAGCCTGAGGATACCACTGTGCAGTGTGCCTGCAGGAGCAGCATGCTGGCTGCCTAAGGCTTGCAGAGTTTGCAGATTGCAGCGTAACAGTGACTGACAGCACATGTGCTTCCATGGATGCAATCATGGTTGGGACGTAGGGTTAGAAGAGCTTGGTGTTCCAAAGCTCTTGCAGTAAGAACATATATGTGTATTTTTTCAGAGTCTAGCCCAGTGTGCTGATGTGACACATCAAGCTTTTACAGGCTGTGGCAATAGCAATTAAAAAAACATAATGGATAATATATTTGTAATGACTTTCTAGCCTGAGAGTTGCTACAGGTACCCAGTGTTCCAGATCAGTGACTGAAGCACCTCCAGCAGTAGGGGCTGGCTGTAGCTGGGTGTCAGGGGTGCAGGTGATCCACCAAAGCAATGCTCAATTATTTAAGGCCTTTTAAAATACACAGTATGTGAAAAAATTGAATTAAACCCTAAAAATCTGGGGGCAGTTAGGTTATGGCTGATGCTGCACTGTAAGCAAGCTGATGGCATGCTGATATAAACTGAGTGAAGGTGTTCTGCTTGATACCTAGCCCAAAGGAGATGGTATTTCTCTTTTTTTTTTAGAGCAGAGGCTGTGGGGCTGCAGGGCCTGGTGCCTGCAGGAGGCAGCAGAGCTTTGGGAAATCTCGGGCACATCTGGCATGGGGCATTCAGGAGCTGAAGGTGTGTGTGGTCCTGACTGAGCAAGGCACTTCCTTAAGGAAGCTTAAGGAATTGGCTAAAGAAAATGGTGTAAATTAGCTTTTGGGCTGAATCTGTGCTGGGCTGACGCCATACAAGCAGGCTCCTGGGTCAGTTAGGATCAATGTGATGATAAGAGGATAGCACAAAAATGCTTTATTTGCATTGCATCGCTTTGTCCTCAAGTATTCAACCCTTTCAACAGACACGAGTGAACTCAATTTTCTTTTATATTTCAGCATTTCTACTAAAAAGAGGTGGTTTTTTTTTTTTATTTTTTGTTTTTTTTTTTTTCTTTAAGCCTTTCAGCTTATAAATGCAGCTCTCAGTAAAGACCATCTGCAAAAGGAATTGGTTTGACCTCTGCTTCCCTAATTGCTTTTTGCTCCAAGTTGGCCTGGAAATAAATGTTGCTATTGTGTAAATTGCTGCAATGGTGGAAAGAGAGCCGATGAGATCAGGTGCATAAGTTCTGTCAGGAAAATCACTTTCTTAACAGGAAAGCAGCGCCTGCTGCCTGTAACCAGAGCGGGTCAGATCAACAGACCCACCTGATAATTACCTATTTTCTGCTTCTGAGCTGCCCACAGTGCAGGTTGGAGGGTGTTTAATCTGAGATCTCTTCCGAGCTCCCTCTAGGCCCTGGAGGGGTGCTGAGGGCCAGGTAATTCGGGCTGGGGTAGGAGTGGAGAGCCAGGGCCCTCCTGCAGAGGCTGAAAGCGTGAGTGTGCGTGAAGCTGCTCTTTGCGTTGTGTGCTTTCCGTTCTTTGGATCAGCCCTGAGCACCCTGTGAGCCCTTGCCTGCAGCGTCAGGCCTGCAGCTGGGCCACAGGCTGCGTGGGGTGCTGGTGGCTGGGGAGGCTGCAGGCTCACACACTTGGATGTGGTGCTGCCACTTACGGTCTGCAGCATGCTGTGAGCAAGGGCTCAGCCTTGGGAAACCTCCACCCTGTTCTTCAATGTAAGTCTACCTCTGTGCTATCGAAATTATCGAAATGAGAGAAGCAACAATGCTTGTGCAATTAGTACATTAATATGCTGAAGGAATCAGCATACTAATTACTTGACAGGATGAGAATAGAGGTCGGGTTCTCCAGAAGGGATGAGGGATGAGTCCTGTGGATTCAGCTCCATTAGGATGATAAAGCCTTCTCTATTTACCAGTAACACCTCCAGCAAGGTGCTTCACATTATAAGAAATCAAAATGCTTGGGTGAATGCTAAAACAAATGGCCTCTGCATTTAATGCACCCTCTGGTTTTATAATCCTGCTGAGAATTGTGTCCTAAGAATCAAAGAATCGGTATGCCTGGGATACTTTGCCTCTTCTAATTGAAGCTGTGAGCAATTGGTGGTCTTTAGGACTTCCTGGTTTGAGTTGGTTTTGTCTCTCTGGATTAAGCTTTGTCCTCTTCTGTGCTTGAAATAAAGAAAAGGAAATCAAAAAAGTGAGGAAGAAACAGCTATATTTAAAAAAGCAGGAAGCATTTGATTTGGGGGTCCTTTTATGCGATTTTTATCATGTTTGCTTTTGCTAGGGTAATAAATTCTAGCAGGCCATTCAGCATAGTCATCTGAGCCACATTTGTGAGACACATCACATCTCTTCCATTATGTGAGAGCCCATAAATAACACTGGCAGGCTGTGTACTGGAAGGGATGGGTGGCTTACTGCTCCTTACTGCAGCCTCAGAGGCAGTTCTCCAGGCAGCACAGAGCTGCCCTGAGGACACCAGCGCCTGCTGGAGATATGCCTCCGGGTGCTGGTGGCTTCACCTCCAGGATCTGATGGTGACCACCTGAGAGGCCATGGATATCCTAAGGTGGGGAGGTACCTCCTTCAAATGGTCAGTGACTTCATGTCATGTTTTTATTGTATGAACTTGGAGAATTGTTGGGGACATGACGGGTTTGCTCATGTGGCCAAGGGTGCTGTGATGTGGAGAGGACTGTCAGTCAGTGGGCTGGTGTGGTGCTGGGCATGCTGCAGTAGCATGGAGCTGCCTGCGTGGCTCCTGTGGCCATGAGAACAGAGCTTTGCTGTTCCCAAAAATAGCCCTAGGTCATTCAGTAAGAAAAAGCATCTCAGGCCCAAGCTGAGATGTTGTGCTGTGGGGTGCTGCCACTTGCAGAGGGAGCACATTGTTCTGTGCTAGCGCTCACCTCTGAACCTACCTGCTTGGGTCCTGGAGCCCCTGCAGGCATTTGTTCTTAGAAGTCCTCCTCTTTCATGGGAAAGATTTTAATCTTTAGCCAGTGGTTATCCTGGCTTCAGCTTTTGGAGACTTTTGGTTCAACTTCCTAATGAGCTATGGCTATTTCTCAAAACACAAGGTGCTTTTATGCCTGCCCAACAGGAGCATGCAGCCTTGGCCAGCATCAGGCCCATAATTACTGACTGCAGCTGTCTGCAGCTTTTTTCCACGAGGCTGGGCTAGCACAAAGGATGGGCGTTAGGCTTGCCTCTCTCCCTTGGTTACTTCCCTGGCCTTTTAACAAGTTATAATTACAGAAAATTGGTTCTGTATAAGCATCCCACTGACAGTCTGTGTGTGTGAGATTTGTATCTGTAATTTGGCAATGATACTGATTATCATTACAAGGGGTCATTAACATTGTGTTTGAAGAATGGCAAGGATATCATCCTCCAAAGGATCTGGAAGATGATTTTTGTTCATTTACCCAAGTCTGTTGTTCTTGCTTCAGCATCCTGATTTGCCTGGACAAAGGCCTTTGTTTAGATGATAGAATTGTTTACCATATTCTTGCTAAATAGCAATGTGGATTTGTGGGTCCTCTTTATTTCAGTTATATTTAAATCTGAGTGCAACTTGTCTTTTTTTTTTTCCAAGCTGCTCAGCCTGTCTTTTGTGTTGATGAGCTACACACAAAAAATTCCAGTGTCCTGGCCAAACCTTCTTAACAGCTCTTCAAAAAACATCCTCAAATTGCCACTGACATCCCAGGTTCTGGGGTGGCACAGCCACAGGACATGGCTGCCCCCTGGGGGGCTGATATTCGGCAGTGCCCGGGGTGGCTGAGCGGTATGCTTTCCTTCATCTGTCCCCGTTTCTGCTTCCCGCAGTGTATGGGCACAACGTGAAGAGCAGCAACGACTTCATCGGGCGGATCGTCATCGGTCAGTACTCCACAGGTGCTCCTGAGTCCAACCACTGGCGCCGGATGCTCAATGCACACCGGACGGCTGTGGAGCAGTGGCACAGCCTGCGCTCGCGGGAGGAGTGCGACCGCGTCTCCCCGGCATCCCTGGAGGTGACATGAGGCGTGGCACCTGTGGTGGCCAAACCAAACAGGCGGGCAAGGCGGGGAAAAAACTCCAACCTCCAAATCACCCAACCTCACTCCCACCCCACAGCAGCTCCATCGGACCGAAGCAGCTGCCGGTACCCACCTGGCTGCGTTGGCCTTTGTGCAAACCCCCGCAGCGCCAACCGTGCCAGCAGCTCCTCGGTGGCACTGGCCGCCTGACTGGCCGGACCCATTGCTCCCTGCGCCCGGCGCCGCTCTGCTGTTTCAGTGACAGAGCAGCAGGTGGCAGGTGGAGGTGCCACAGGACATGCCAAGATGGGGAAGAGTTCTGAGTTGCTTCCACTCTCCTTATGATCCAAATCCATGACTTGTCCTCTCGGAGATATACGTACCTGTGTGCTCTTGTTGGTGAACATCATAATTAGGCTAGGATGTTTTTTTAAATGGTAGAAGCTGTGGTGAAGTCGATTCTGGCTCCAGTTTTGTCCTTGTATTTGTTTCAACAGAATTAAGCTCCTGTTAATACGTGGCCAGCACACACAGCCCTTGCTGTGCGGGGCCGACGTGCTGCCAGCAGCGGGGCCTGCCACTCTCCATAGCAGTCTGTGTGCGTCCAATAGATACTGTGATGATATAGCGAGTAAATGTCTCCAGTAGCATTTATACTTCTCAATCTTTCCTGATGTTGAGTAAAAGAAACCTGCTGTGGGTACTTCTGCAGTTAAGAATGCCCCCAATGCACAATTTTACTTCTCTGATAGACTGCAGTGACTCCTTCTGTGTTGTGTGTGTTTACTGAGGTAGTTTTCCAGGTCAGCACATGAGTGTAGGTGTGGTCAAGCTGTCCTGTTGGTTGCTTCTGTACATTATTTTTTTTTCCACGGCATATTGTCTGGTATAATGCAGATTGTATATTTATTGAAAATAAAAGTCTATTTAATTGTGCCACGCACCCTGAGGTGGTAACTGTTAGCAGAACTCATTCTTCCATTGAGCTCAGTTATGTTTATGATGCTAGTAAAGACAAGCCAGAAGGTTGGAGCAGGCCCTTTTTTTACTGTGGGTGAGCCCAGGGTTATTTGGGGGAGCAGACCTGGAGCTGGCACAGCCCTGCCTGCCTGGTGGCCAAGAGCCCTGTTCCTACTGCGTGCATTCCCAGCCAGAGCACCCTGGAGAGGCAGAATGTGATGTGTGGGACTGCGGGTTGCTGTGCTCTGCAGGAGCTGCCCCCAAATTATTACATATGGTAAAAGTTGTTTTTTTTTGATTTTCTATTTTTTTTAACCAGCGTTGTGGCTGTAGGAAAATCTGTATCTTGCTTTCAGCGCATTCACAACTCATACTAGAGGGATGGCATCCACAAGAGAGCAGGGTTTGGCGCACTCCCAGAAAAAGCTGTAAATGTGGATTGGATGCTAAGAATTAGAAGGAAACAGCACTGAATGTGTTCCCAAGAAGTGTGCCCAGTGCTGGCTGGAGGCATAATGGGGTCACAGAGTTTTATAGCATGTGTGTGTTCTGTTTCCCTTACCTGTATGCTGATACTAGAAAATGACTTGATACAATGTTGTGTTATTCTTTTTTAAATCTGAAGTTTATTTCCAAACACAGTTCTGACCACAGAAAGGAGACATTCTGGAGCATCCATCGCATCTCTGCTCGATGCTGGAGGTTTCCTCGTGTTGCAGGATGGCACGAGCACGGCGTGGAGCTGGCAGGCGGGCGGCAGAGTGAGCGAAGCAGCCTTGCCCTGGGCAGCACGGCCAGTGCCTTCCTCTGAGCTCCCGGCGCTGATAACAGCCAGCCCACAGCGCACAGCGGGGCAGTACGGGAGCGCAGCCCCGCCGGGAGCCGCATCCCCGCCCGGCTCGGGGAGGAGGGCAGCGGCGGGGAGGTGCGGGGCCGCCTCCTGCCGCGGGTGGGGCCGGAGCTGCCCCCAGTGCCGCCGCCCGCCCTGGCCGGAGCCGAGCAGCGCGGAGCTGCGGCGATGGGCTGCGGCCGTGCTGTGTGCGTGCTGCTGGCTGCTGCGCTTCTGCCTGCCCGCGCTTTCCCCCAGACCAACATCAAGATCAGCCAAGGTGAGTGAGAACGCGGTTACCCCATTTTGGGCAGCGAGGTCAGGCCTTCTCGGAGGGGCAGCAGTGGACTTATCAGTTTCTTCTGCTCCAGAATTCTCAGGCTTGTCAACTTCTTCTTTTGGGAGGATAAGCCCAGAGCAACCTGAAAAATGACATAAATAATGTGGTTCCTCCCATTCCTCTGCTTTTTTTTCCGTATGTAAGTCTGAAGCATGGAGTGACAGCAGCTGCTCTGTGCCACTTACATGTGTTGCAAACTTGTTAACGGGGCTGCATGGAGGTGTGCCTGTGCACAGTGCAGCACAGTTTGTTTGTAGGGCTCTGAGCAGAGAGAGAGTAGCACTGAGTGCTACTCGTGAGGAAAGGGATCAATACTTGGCTGCCAGATGCCTCATCAATGGCAGCTTTCCCCCCACTAATTAAGGAGTACAAAAATGCAAGATAACTGCTATCTGTTACCTCTGGCTGTAGAAGAGCCGCAGGGGGCTGCTGCTGTTGGCTGCGGCAGCCTCACATCTCCGAGAGTGTGTGACATGAGATTCCAATCTGGAAGGACAGCTTGGTTTTATTATAGGGTCTTAAAAAGCAGAGCTCTCTGTCTGAGAGGATGTTGCTTTTCTGATGCTCTTCAAATGTTTTTTAAAGTTTTACTTGGAAATCTGTGACTGGTACCTAAAACAAAACAAAAAAACAGCGACACAAAAACAAATGACTGCAGGGTGTGCAAAACATTGCCCAGTTACTGTCTGATCTCCATGTCCATCAGTGGCTGCCAACCCTCAGACACAAGGGAACTTCCACCCTGCTGAGGCAGGGACTCATGCAGTCAGTGTTGTGTTTCCTTCAGTAGCATCCTGATTAAAAAAAGCCTCAGGAAAGTGCCTGGGGATTTCTCAGTTTGTTGGGAAGTGAAGCTTTCTGCCAGAGCTGTGCCAGCTTCTGCATGGCTGTGACACAGGGTTTGTCTGGTTATGGGGATCCTGATGGCTCTGAGCTGGGTCTCAGCAGTAAGTAATTAGAACTCTAAACAAATGGAAGGAGCGCGAAGCTCTCTTTCTGACCCTACATTTTTCCTTTCCAGCTTTTCTGGATGTTACCTACCTAGTGTGGATCTTACCTTCAGTCAAGTTTAGACCAGAAATTTGGGGACAAAGGGCTGACGTGCCATGGGGCTGGCAGGAAGTTGGTGTTGCAGATGATAACTTTGCTTCAGGTGCTGCTCTGGCCCCTGGGAGCTGATGCTATGAGGGGGACGTTTTTCTGGGGGTTTTAAATCTGAGGACCTGGTCAGAATATGCCCCACTCCTGTTTACATTAAGTATCGTTTTCAGCTGCTGGCTTAGGTTATGAGGTTTTCCTATAGAGCTGTGAGTGTGCTTATATACTCACGCATGAAATTTCTTGTGGCTTTTCTGCTAAAAATAGCTCCTGAAGTTCCCAGATCACAGCAGCACCCCCAGTTGTCGCTGCCTGTAAACATAAGAGCAGAAATCCTCCTCCAAAGAGAGCACCAGATTCTCTGATCCTGACCCAAGAGAGAGGATGCTAATTAAATGTTGACCTCCCTTCTTTTTCTTTTTGGTATATTTAACCTTAAATTCCTTCTGGCACCTCTGCTTCGCTGAAGCTCATCAAATTAATGCTACCTAATGGGAAGCAGCGCAGAATAACAAAGGAGGGCCGTCTGCATCTCCACTCAGTTTTGGCTGCTTTGGACAAGAGGGGGGCAGTGATACTTCAGGGCAGGGGGTGCTGAGGGCCCCAGTGTGATCCGGGAAGGGAGGGAGTTGCTGGTCTCTGCCCTGTGAATTTTGCCACCATGCTGCTGGAGGTGAAGAGTTTGCCAGGGTTTTTTGCACCTCAGTAAAACAGCTGGGGGCTGCAGCCTTTTCCCCCAGATCCAGTCCTTTGCCCCCACTCTTTGTGTGACACCACAGGAAATCACATCAGCTTGTGGCATTCCTGGTCCTTCTGCTCTACGACTGCGACAACAATGGCTCACTTTTCTTAGGGCTGTGCTTTTCCCATCGCAAGACAAGCTGGATGCCATCCTGAGCCACACATCACTGCTGAGCTGCCTGGGTCCTGGCTGCACTGCTCTGAAGCTGCTCCTCGTCTTTTTTTGCCATACCGACATTGCCTTCACTGCCCCCTCATCACATGTGGCTGTTGGTGGGGATCTGCTCTGCTCACCACTGACTGACCCATGGTGGCAGTCAGTTCCCTCCAGGCTCTTCAATGCCGGAGGCCCTTCAGCAGTGCCTTGACCTCTCCGGCCTTGAGCCTGTTACCTGCTTGGGTAGCTCAGTGGCATCTGCCTCTCCCAGGGCTGGGCTGTGCCCTAAGCCCTGCTTCTGACCCCTCAGTCATTCCAACAGAGCCCTGGGGGGAGGCAGGAGCTGATGCTGAGGGAGCTGGGGCACATCAAGGCTCAAAACGCAAGGGCTAAGGGGGTTCAGCCTGTTTGCTGTGTGATTTTGGGACATGCACATGTATTAGTGTTAGTTGGTGTATGCTCTTTCTCCTTTGTTCCACATAAAGGAGGCTGCAGAGGGATGTGTTCATGCTGCTGCGAATTTTACATTATGTAAGGGCTCCAAAAAATGCCTCTTGTGCCCCCAAAATAGCCTCACTTGAGGAACTTCTCTTGCCTTGCTGAAGAGCTCTGCAGGGCCCCTCTTATCTCCCAGGGAGGCAGATAGAGCAGCACTGCACCCCTTGGCCTCTCCAGGGCTATTTCTGGCCCACAACACAAGGCGTGCTGGTGTGCATGGCTGCCACTGGGCTTGGACAGGAGCTGAGAGGGAGCTGTGGCCTTCCAGGAGGTACAAGCAAGAGAGCAGTGCATGGCCACAGCCCTGCTGCTGTGGTGCCAGCCCCATCCCAGCACAGCGGCCCTACTGGTGTCTGATGGAGCCAAGAGGAGCTCTTATCTCGTCTTCAGTAGCACCAGTGAGTATTTTCATTTGGAGTACCCCATGCATGATACCACGTCAAACAGGCTTGCAGTGCAAGTCTCAATATTCTTCTAGGTGGCCACTAGAATAGGGAAACTCATGGCTTTTTGCAAAATCTGTTCGGGCTTGTGCAAAATTTTGAATGGCTTCGGCCAAAGCTGCTTTTTTTTTCCCACTTGTATGGCTTTGGTTTGTTGTCAAGGAGCAGGGGTGGCAGTTGCTTCTCCTACATCTCCTGTGTGTCCTTGCTCTGCCCCCAGCCCTGCCGGAGCCTGTGCATGCCTACTCCTGCCCTCTTTTCTGGACGGAGTATGAAGGGCACTGCTACCGCTACTTCCCCATCAACAAAACCTGGGCCGAGGCCGACCTCTACTGTGCGGAGTTCTCCATTGGCATCAGGTCAGCGAAGCTGGCCTCCATTCACAGGTGAGAGCCGCCGACTGTCCTCTTCCTTCTGGGAAAGCGGGGACATGGGGACCGCGTCCAATTCCACGCAGCAACCAAGGCCAGCCTGCTGTCTTGAGCATGCAAAGCTGGGGAAGAAAATGCTTTTTGCTATGCTGGCAGAAATAATGCTGTAGTGCTCCCTGAATCTCCCGCAGGGTGTTTCTTGTACCTGAACTGGGGTAGAAATCTGATGTGATTACATGGGCTCTGCTCCTCCACTCCTTGTCCTCTACCATGCACCTTTTGCAAAGGCCTGGCACCAGATCATCACAATTAATGGACAGGGAGCCATTTGTCCAGCTCTGGGAAGGATGGTGATGGCATGTCCTTGACCCTTGCCAGTGGTTACTTCTCACTGCTGCACACCTGCTCTTTTGCCAGCTGGGAAGAGAATGTCTTTGTGTATGACCTGGTGAACAGCCGCGTGCCCGGCATCCCCACTGACATCTGGACGGGGCTCAATGACCTACGGCAGGTGAGCAGCCCCAGCCTCTGCTTCTTTTCCTGTTTTCCTGGTTGTTGCAGTAAGTAGGTGTGTTGGCAGCCTCCTTCCTGCTTAGGTTTTCTTCCCTTGCAAACTGGAGAATTATTCTGTGGTTTAGAGAATAGCCAAGTTTGTAGACTGAAAATTTCTCCAATGTCAAAAATCACCAAATTTCTTATGATGCTCTGCAGCTTTTAAAAAACTGGCCTGTTGGAGATATTTCCTCACCATATTACTAGATGATATAAAAATTGAGATCATCAGAACTGTCACACATCAGCAATTCCTCAAAAAGAAGAAGAAAAGGAGGAGAGGGAACACAGAATTTTGCACTCTTCAGTTGCAAGATTGATTTCAAGAGAACCCCTGTGCAGTACTGCAGTCTTGTGAAGCTGCCTTCCACTGATGTTTTATGGGCACTTAAGAAAAGCAAAATGAGCCTTATCATTTATTACTGTAGCTTGAATTATAGTATGGAGGGATATTAAATCAACGTACAACAAGAGGGATATTGAATTGCTTGAGCATGAGCAGAGAAGAGCAATGAAGCTGAGGGAGGACAAGAAAACAAGTTATGAGGAGTTGGCTGAGGGAGTGGGGGCTGCTCAGTCTGTGGTCTCAAGTTGTGCCAGGAGAGATTTAGATTGCAAATCAGGAATAATTTTGTCGTGGAGAGGGTGGTGAATCATTGGAATGGGCTGCCTGGAGTGGTGGTGGAGTCCCTGAAAGTATTTAAGAAAGGAGTGGATGTGGCACTGAGGGGCATGGATTGGTGATAGGACATGGTATGATGGTTGGACTTGGTGATGTTGAAGACTTTTCCAACCTCAGTGCCTGTATGGTTCTGTGCTATAAGTTTGTGGTGCAGATTGCTAGTGCTCCCTGGGGTAGGTCTTCAGCTGTATAACCTCAATGAGTTGCTTGCTTGGTTCTCCATGTGTCCCTGTAGTGTCTTGCACCCATCCCCATTTGGGTATGTGGCAATGGGTTGCCTTGGGACAGAGTCTGAGGGGCACTGCTCCGCAGTGGCTGCACCTCTGCCTGTGCCCCACAGGAAGGTCACTTTGAGTGGACAGACGGCACCTCCTATGACTACAACTACTGGGATGGCAGCCAGCCCGATGACGGCATCCACTCCATCCCAGAGGAGGAGGACTGTGTACAGATGTGGTACCGGGCCAGCAGCGGTAAGCACTGCAGTTCAAGGGCACACCGAGTCCTATTTGCATGCAAATAAAATCTGTCTGCTGCAGCTTGTGCTTTTCTGAAGAGGCTGCTTGGTAGGGTGACGATTTGCATTTAAAATCTTTATTTTCTGCTTTTCTTCACAGAGCAGGGTGTTTTCTCTATAACCACACTCACATGCAGGCTTTCCCTCTGCTTACATCCATCTTCAGCAGCTAGGGGGGAGCATCACTGGAGAATCACTAAATTTAGTCAAAGTTAATGTGTTGTGATCTCCCCCCGCGTGCATAGCTTGCTGCTAAGCACATCCCTTGACCAGCTTCCTCTTCCATTGTCACCATGGGCTCTCACTAAAGCACAGCAAGACCCTGCTTGTGTGAGGAGCCCAAAGGCATCCAAGGGCTGGGTGCTTTGCCTCACACCTTGTTTTTGGGGCAGCGCTGCGCTCCTGGAACGACAACGCCTGCGGCCGGACCTTCCCCTTTGTCTGCAAAATCCCCTCGCTGGCCCTGGACTGAGCCTGACTGTGTGCCCAGCTTCGTGCTGCCTCCGGAGCAGGCCTCGTGCTCTTCACCTCTAGCTGGAGCTCTGTCCGCTGACAAGTGAGTTGCAGAGCAATGGAGGCCACCCGGATTTAAGCCTGGGGTCGGGTTTAAAATAAACTCTCACAGGAAATCTGTAGGAAATCTGTTATTTTATCAATGCAGAAGAGTTGTGGCTGCAGGTAAAGAATTGGGAGAAAGGGGATGGGCTGTTGCTGGGCACTGTGGGGTCATGATGATGGCTTGGGGTGGGGGGGGGAAGAGCTTGGAGCAGCTGTGCTGTGCTGTAAGGGGACAGCAAGTGTGAGTTACACATATAGCATGCACACACGTGCCAAACGCTGTGGCTGTGCCATCAGCTGCAGTTGGATTGGTCTTCCTGACTTTAAAGAGCAAATGCAATATTAATTCTTCCTAATTGCTTCCTATAAGCTTGTCAGTAATATGTAAAACATAATTATCATCACAGGCTTTTGGATAGGTTTTAGGTAGGATCAATTATCCCTTAAGAAACAGCTTTAAGACACAGGACCTTCTCTGCAGGCTGTTCCAGGCAGGACAGGGTCCTTTTCCTCATCTTGACACAAAACCAAGACAAATCCTTTGCAAAGATGAGTAAAAAACCCCACATAAAATTGCTTTGTTGTCCCTGATGTCACCAGCTGAGACACATCTCAAAGCTCATACTTTCCAGAGTGATCGTATTAGTGCAGTGAGGTCAGCAGGGCTGAGACAGCTTTACCCCGAACAGCCACCTCTGCTTTTGGCTAAAATACATTTTCTCTCTGGGACCTTGGAATGGAGCTGCAAAACTTGGTGGAGGTACATTTGTAGTTATAAGTGGGGCTGTGTGTTGGAGCCAGTCTTAAAAATGAGGAAATACTGTCACCCCAGGTACGCATTTGAAATATATTTAATTATATATGTATACTTTTCAGCAGTTTTCTGCCAAAATTCTGTGTGGTAGAGGATATTCACCCCGTCCATTTTGTTATGGAGGTGAATGCCCAGGGTCCCTCAGCACAGCCAGGCTGGAGGACCCAAAGAGCAGATCCACCTCCAGAGTACCTGGGCTGTGCTGCTGGTTTGGCTGTCTCAATGGCGCAGAGATGCTGAGCGTCCCAGCGCTCTACCTGGGAGATGCTCTCCTCTCCATCCCCATTGCCCAGCTCCTGGAGGGGTGAGTCCATCCTGCTGATGCCTTCATTTTTTTGGTTGTGGGTGCATGCAGAACCTTACACTCAGCAGAAGCCCCTGGTCAAGACATGAGATGGATGGATGGGCACCCAGTGTTTAGTCAGCCTGCAAGATTCAAGAAGACAAAACCCATTTATTTCCCTCAAGAACTACAAACCTTTTCTATTATATGGTGATTTGCTTATTGCTGCTGCGACTCACCCATGGGCACATGTGGTTTGGTTGTTTTTTGGGGGGGGTTGTTGTATTTTTGTTGTTGTTATTTGTTCTGTTTTTTTGTTTTTCTTTTAGTGGATATTCCTGACCCATGGAATTGGTGGTTTTGGAACAAATGGTGCTGCTGGGAAGCCAAGTGGCTGCAGTGAGGTGGCGAGGAGCTGTTCTGTGAGGGGCTTGCATCCTCTGGATGCTGGGAACACTTGCAGCAAAAGAGCAATGGTCACTGATGCTCTGAGTTGCAGCAGTGAAATAAGATTGGCTTCTGTGCACAGCATGCATGCATTACCTTCTCTCCTCACTTTCCTTTCTGAGAGTCTTCCTTTTATGCATGAAAATAATTATTTTAGGGTAGCTTTTGCATGTTGGACAGGAGGTAATGCATGTGTTTTTTCCAGGCTTTTTTGCCTGCTGTCATACAGCAGTGCATTGCACACAGATAGCAATGGTACGTAAAGAAACCAGCTGTAAAAGCAAGATGTTCCTGGTCCCAGTGAGTTCAGCACATGCTGAACTGAAGCAGCACCTGGTGCTGGGACTGCCTCCCTGCACTGCTTCTTCCTGCTCACTCTGTTTGCAGGAGCTGGGAGCTCAGCACCATGGGGCCTGGCATGCCTACAGCCAATGCACCCACCTTTCCCCGCAAGTGGTTTGAGACATTTCCAAAAACAGATTTGAAAAGTTCCCTTGGGAAAGCATTTGAAGAGTTGGGCCCTACCACGGCTAAAAATACTGCTAATGGGGTGAGCCTGTGGAAGCTGTCAGCTCCAATTAATGTCTTCATTTCCAGGTAAAGAGAAGTGAACTTGCATGACCAGAAAGTCGAACTGGAGTTAATAGGGGTGATGTTTTGCAAACCTCTGCTGCTTTCACCTCAGGCTCCAGGATACTTACTTTCAAAAAAAACAACCAACCACCCAGTGCTTCTTTCTTTGCTGCTGCCTTCTGTGTCACAGCAATCACACAGGGCTCATGGGACAAAAGGAGTGTTCTGCTCCTGAATGAACTCTTGGATCATCAGGGTTGATGCTTGGCAGATGATGAGATGTGCCTATGCCCTTGGTGTTTGCCCAGCTGGGAGGAGCTGCAGCTCTTCGGGTTGAACATTATTTTAGTTTTCCTGTGCCCGGTGTCCATGCCCCCAGCTCCTCACCTTGGCTGTCCCTGTGTGTTGAGGCCAGCAGCCTGGGAACCCCCAGAGCAATAGATGCAGGAGAGTCCTCTTAGCTCTCCAAGTGTTTCAGGAGCTCAATACCTTCCTTTGCAATGTATGAACTCAGGGTAAGTTTATGACATAGTCTGGGAGTGAACAAAAATGATCATCTATTGGTGACAAATGCCTTTATTCTCCTGTGCCCCATTTCTTGGTCTGTATAGGTGCTATTGTCCCCACTCAGCCCCAGCAGGCAGGAGGCATGGGACCACTTGCACACTTTATTGTTTAATTCTGGTTTTATTTAATTTTATTTTTATTTCCTGAGATTCTCTGCTGTGTGTGGAAGGAAGCTTCAAGGACAAGCTGCAATCTCTGGGTCACGCAAACATTCTGGTGCTGTGCCATGGGGAGGGCAATGGGAACCAAGGGGCTGGCTCAGTGTGTTTGGTTCATACTGCCCACATCACTCACTGCCAATACCATCACATTCTGACTCCCTGAGATTGTGGAAGACACCTGCCCAGAGTCAGCTCTGTGTTTGGTCCAGACATTGCATGGGCATTCAGTACTCCATGATGGAGAGTCTGTGGGTTTGCAGCTCTTCTGGTGCGGCACAGCTATGTGAGAAAGGTGATTGGGTCTTTTATTAAATGCTTTTGCACGGCAGGGGCTTGTCAGCTTGGCTTGAAACTTTCCTCTCTGGTTGCAAGTCATCAGAAGTGCAGATCTAATGAGAAAGTAATGAGTTCCTGCTGGTAAACCCAGTCAGCCTTGGAGGTCACTGTGTCAGCGTGTAGGTGATGCGGTGGAGAAAGGGACCTCAGCTTGGCAAGGCTACTGCCACCTGTTTGTCCCCCAACCTGGGCAAGGCTGTGCTGGGCAGGGTGCAGGAATAGGGCTGCTGCTCAGCAGCGTCTGAGAGGTGCCTTCCAACACAGTCATACTGCAGTGCTCCTGCTGCTTCAGCTCAACGGAGCTGTGCTTTGTCATCTGTTAACAGACAGCCTGGCTCTTGGGTTACCACGGCAACTGGATATTTGCTCATTTGTATTTCTTGAAAATTATTCCTTCTTGTTGATTGCAGTGTTTGTGGAACTGCTTGTCAGGGTGCTGAGGTACCAGCACCTGTCAGCACTGTGTGCAAGTGGACCAATGCTGCTTCAGAGTGGGCAGAAACTCTGCTGGCTGTGATGTGCTGTAACTGCATCCCTCCTGCACAGATGGGTACCATAGCCCACGGGCAGGGTGTTTGCTCTGCTCATCCCACCTGACCTCTGCTTGTTGCATTGTGAAGCCAGTTGGGTAATGTACAACCCAAGTTGCTGGAGACCTTCCTTAGGAGGGGAAAGGGAAGCATTTGCAGGATGAGGGTTTTTCATGCGTGGAAATGCCTGCAATAAAACACCCCCCTTTGGGTACTCTCAGGCTGAGGGATGACTGTCCCTTGTATGATGGAGGGAGGAGATGGGGGCTGGAGGGGCTCCGGGGAAACAACTGCTGCTTCCATCCATCCAAGCAGGGGGTGGTCAGCACTGTCCCCCCCATCCCCTCCCTCTGACTACACCCATCACACACTGAAGGGGAAGGCACCAGTAGAAGTGAGAACCCACTGAAATGTGGGTTCATTCATCATGGTGAGGGCAAATAGCCTCAGAAAAGGGTCGTGGTCTGCATTAATCTCCATACCGTAGAAGGCACTGTAGAAAGTCACAGGCCCAAGTAAATGCTTGAATGGAAATAATGGAGGTGTTCATCTAATATGGAGAATTGCCCTGGATTTGGCGGGGTTGTGAAAGCGGTTACAATTTCTAGTAGCAGTAAGATTAATGGTTATGATGAAATCTTAAACACCAGCTTTGTACTCTGCCCTTTCAATACCCATTAACTCCTTACAAAGGCTCTGCTGTAGCTATCCAGGGGAGCTGGCTGTCCTTATGCATGTAACCCACCCAACCTCACATTCAGCTTTGCTGATAGGGATTGCTGTGTTACTTTTTGCCCTGGTCCCTACTTGTGCACTCTAGAGCTGCCAGGGTGGGACTTAAGAGGATATTTAGGCCAGATGTTAGGTAGAATTTATTTACTCAGAGGATGGTGGTGCTCTGGCACTGCTGCCCGGAGCTGTGGGTGCCCCATCCCTGGAGGTACCCAGTGCCAAGCTGGATGGGGCCCTGGGCAGCCTGAGTTGGTGAGGGACAGCCAACCCTCAGCAGGGGGTAGGAACTGGATGGACTTTAAGATCCCATTCAATCCAAGCCATTCTGTGGTTCTATGACTTTTGGGAAGGATGTAGTTTTAGGTGGAGCAGGCAAGCTGATACTGAATGACGCTTGCAGTTTCCTCCATTTCTAATTGGAGCATCCAGCCATGCAGGGCACCAAATGCCTCTCAGAGCAAGGATTTTAACTCTAAAATGCCAGTACAGCCTCCTATCA